AGTTGGCCATCAGGCTCAGCATCTGCTTTGACAGTCTATACTGCAGAGGCTTTCAGAGGCCCTCTGTGGCAGGTTTCAAGGTTGTTTCCTGTTTTCTTCTGGCTTTCAGAGGCCCTCTGTAGCAGGTTCCGAGGTTGTTTCCTATTTTCTTTTTCTTCTGATGTCCATTCTCTTTGCCTTTCAGGATGGGGATTGAACATTTTAGTTAGGGTCCTCTCTTTTGCTTAGTTTGCTTAGATGTACAGATTTTAGTGGGTTTATTCTATGTTGTATGTTTATATGAGTGAGTATATACCATGCGTGTCTTTTTGCTTCTGGGACAACTCACTCAGGATGATCCTTTCCAGGTCCCACCATTTACCTGCAAATTTCATGATTTCCTTATTTTTCATTGCTGAGTAATACTCCATTGTATAGATGTACCACAGTTTCTGCATCCATTCTTCAGTTGAGGGGCATCTGGGTTGTTTCCAGCTTCTGACTATTACAAATAAAGCTGCTACAAACATGGTTGAGCAGATGTCCTTTTTGTGTACTTGTGCCTCTTTTGGGTATATGCCTAGGAGTGGTATGGCTGGATCTTGAGGAAGCGCTATTCCTAGTTGTCTGAGAAAGCACCAGATTGATTTCCAGAGTGGTTGTACCAGTTTACATTCCCACCAGCAGTGGAGAAGGGTTCCCCTTTCTCCACAACCTCTCCAGCATGTGTTGTCCCTTGAGTTTTTCATCTTGGCCATTCTGATGGGTGTAAGGTGAAATCTCAGGGTTGTTTTGATTTGCATTTCCCTAATGGCTAATGAGGTTGAGCATTTCTTTAAGTGCTTCTCTGCCATTCGATATTCCTCTACAGAGAATTCTCTCTTTAGCTCTGTTCCCCATTTTTTAAGTGGATTGAACAAAGCGACTGCCTACAGATTGGGAAAGAATCATCACCAACCCTTTATCTGACAGAGGACTCATATCCAATATATATAAAGAACTAACCAAGCTGAAAAGCAATAAACCAAGTAATCCACTTATCTGGGGTCTTTTGTGGTTCAATATGAATGTTAGCATTTTTTTCTGTGAAGAATGAGATGGGAATTTTTATTGGGATTGCACTGAATCTGTAAATTGCTTTGTGTAGAATTGTCATTTTCACTAATTCTACCAAAACATTAGCATGAAATGTCTTTTCACTTTTTAGTTTCTTTCTTAATCTTTTTCTTCAAAGAGTTAAAGTTTTCATTGTAAAGGTCTTTCACTTTCTTGGTTAGATTTCTTCCTAAATACTTCAGTTTTTGAGAATATTGAGAATGGAAGTATTTCCATGCTCTCTCAGAGCATTGTGTTGTCATATAGAAAAGCTACTAATTTTTATAAGTTGATTTTGTATCCTGCCACTTTGCTGAAATTGTTGATCATTTCTGGAAGTTTTGTGGTGAAATATTGAGGATCTCTTACGTATAATATCATACCATATTCACATAGGAATAATTTAACTTCTTTTCCTAGTTGTAGCCCTTTAATTTTTTTCTTGTTTTATTATACTTAGGAATTCTTCAAGCACCGTATTGAAAAGGAGCGGGGTAATGTAGAGGCCTGTCTCATCCCTGACCTCAAGATTGCTGGGATTGCTTTGAGTAGCTCGTGGATTAGGCCCTTACCTAGAACAGGGCTCTGGGTTCAATCCCCAGCACTGAGAGTTATTAATGTTCTAATCTAATACCTATCTAGTCAGCCTAGTATCACATTGTTTTAGCACAAGACATAGTCATCTGAAGTGGAGACATTTACAAATCACAGCCTTGATCCTGTGAATGTCCCAGTCCCGCCTGAGGAGCTACTGGATGAAGAGTTAGTTTTCCTCAGGGATGTTGGATCTGAGAAGCTGCCCATCTCTTGGAGATGGTCCCAACCCATGCACACACAGCAGCGCTAAATGGACTCTTGGGATGTTAAAAGAGGGAAGGGGCACACATGGCACTGGAGGGAGGAGTTATGGGTTTTCAGGGGAGGCAATGTAGTAGAAGAAATAGGAGAATGTTTGATAAAAACACATTACATTCATATACAAATATTAGAAAAATTATATAAAATCACAGAAATAGATGAGTATTATAGTCTAGAATGGACAGTTGGAAAATACAGGTCAAGTTTTAGACCAACAACATAGGAAAAAAAACAATATAATGTTTTAACATTCATGTTTAGTGACTAAAACCAAGTAATGTTCAACTATATGATGAAATCTATTCTTATAAACAATTAATCCCATTTATAACATGCTACAATGTGATGGTTACTGTAACATAAACATTAACATACTAATTTTGAGAATCGTTTTTTACATATACAATGACATAAAAGATTTTAAGTGCCAAAATTGGAAAATGATCTTTCTCCTCAGGCAATACCATTTTGAATTGAAAATATCGTGATTAATTTCTTTATAAACCTGAACTCTAAACTAGAAAGAAAAAAAAATAAATGCAATTTACAGTTGGTTTTGAAAACTTTTAGAGTTAGAACTTTGTTACTCTGACACTTTCTTCTGAAATACAGTACAAAGAGATGTCTTACCTTGATTCCTCTCTCTTAAACCTTGTATTGGGTTATGCTCATACTCCAAAAGGATTGTCCTCCTGTCTTATACAAAATAAAATGATACATGCAGTCATTACTTTAACATTGGACTGAAAACCATGCCAAACATATTAAATTATTAAGAGTGTTTCAGGCAGTATCAGGGTGTGTTGGTATAGTCTTCAAACCGTGAACTTGAACATATTTGTCTTAAGCTTTTACTTAGATAAAGAAATGGTGATGAATCAATGTCAGCATATGTGCTAGGTTACCTCAAGATAAGGGAAAGTACCATAATCACTGATACAGTCCTAGCTTCATAACTAACAGCTATTGTTACACAGTTTCTCTTAGAGTGAAACAGACTTCTGAGAACTGCTTTACTGCTTTAGTTCAAGTTATTATGAAGACTTAACAATATAAAGATGTAAAGAGGTAAATAGAAAAGCAAGAGAACAATTTGTATCTTAACATTGAATTTCTTTGAAAACCAAAATGAAACCCTACGTACGTTTTTTGCCACAGAAACTAATGCACCAATATTACAGCTTCCAGCAAATATGAAGTGCTAGTATGTTTATTATCCATTCTGCTATTTGTGGTTTGTACTTTGGAAAATAATGGCCATTGAATAGTTTAAAACTAAAATTCATATTAACATATAAACTCCTTAAATTAGCAAAATAATTATTTATTATTATTGAGCTAATAAATCATACTAAGATTTTTTTAACTGTTAAATTACAAAACCTAAATATTTTCCTTTACTTAATCAAATCATAATCCACAGACTATTATTATAATGGTGCTTAATTTTCATGATTATTATTGTATTAGTTACTTTTCTATTTCTGTAATAAAATACTATAGCCAAGGCAACTGGTAAAAAGCAAAGTTTATTATGGTTCATTAATACAAAGGAATAAGAGTCCATCCTGGCAGGAACAGATACAGAGACCCAAAGATAAACATTATGCAGAGAGAGAGAGAGAGAGAGTCTAAATGGGACGTCTCCATCAAATGCCTCTCCTCAAAACTTAGGGAATTCCACGGAAGAAAAGGTGGGAAGACTGTAAGAGACAGAAGGGCTAAAGAATACCAGGAGAACAAAGCCTTCTGAATCAACTAAGCAAGGTCCATATGGGCTCACAGAGACTAAAGCAGGCAGCACAGGGCCCACATGGGTCTGCATCAGGTCCTTTGGGTATATTAACTTGGCTATTAACTTGGTATTTTTGTGGGACTCCTGACTGTGAGAATGAGTGGGTCTCTGATTCTTTTGCTTGCTATTGGGAATCCTTCCCTCCTGTTGGGTTGCTATGTCCAACTTTGATATGATTGGTTTTGCTTCATCATATTATATTTTATTTTATCTCATTTGGTTGTTATCTCTTACAGGCCTGTTTGTTTTTCTAATGAGAGACAGAAAGGGAGTGGATCCAGAGGAGGGGAGGCACAGAGGAACTGGCAGGAGCGGAGGGAGAGGAAACTATAATCAGGATGTATTACATAAAAACAGAATCTATTTTCTTTTTTTTCAAATTAATAAGCAAGTGTTTATTAATCTAATAGACAATTAAAGGCTCTTTCAGTGTTAGAAAAATCTGTTAACATAATAAGGTTAATAGATCAAAATTAAAAGAACATGGTGTTATCAATAGATGATAGAAAGTTTTAGGTAAAATCTAGAAGCCATTCTTTTTCAAATAAAACTTACTAAGCCAAAACAAGAAAGAAACCATTAAATACATATACATAAGTGTGTCATATATAAGATGATCTTTGAAACATTGAAGCAGCACTCTAAACAGAAAGATAGTAGGGTCTTTCACTTAAAATCGGTAGCATATAAATGATCCACCTAATCTCAAAATTACTAATCAAAATTATTTTGATATTTTAGTATCTGCAGTAAGAGAAGAAAAATGGTGAATATACATTGTAGAAAAGTTAGATCAGAAATTTTTTTCAATATGTGATTACATGCATACAGAATCATGTGCCTGTATAGAATCTGAAGTACATTTTGTTATGTAAATGAATGCAAGCTTAATATATAGACAACACAGGTATTATAATATACAAGCTAAAAATATAGATTTGAAATTCTGATAATGTGTTTGAATCTGGCTTGCCTATCCATGGGCTCACGCTGTGAGAGAAAGCCCATGCTGAATAGCCCAGAGACCCAGGATAGAACCAAAAATGACTGGTGTGGTGGTATGAAAAAAATACCCACCATAGGTCCATAGGGGGTGGCACTATTAGGAGGTGTGGCCTTGCTGGAGTAGGTGTGGCTTTGTTGGAAGAAATGCATCACTCAGGGGTGGGCTTTAAGTTCTCAGAATCTCAAAGCAGGCCTGGTGGCTTACAGTCTTCCTTCCTGATACCTGCCAATCTAGATGTAGAAATCTCAGATACCACCTCAACACCATGTCTGCCTGTACATTGCCATGCTTCCTGCCATAATAATGGACAAAATGTCTAAAATGTAAGCCAGGCCCAATTAAATGTCTTCCTTCATAACAGTTGCCATGATCATGGTGTCTCTTCACAGCAATAAAAGCCTAAGTAAGACAACTGGCAAAAAAATCAACAAAATTATTCCTAATTATATTCTGCTATAATCATAGATCTGTGACTAGCCAGCTGTCATCAGAGAGGCATCATCCAGCAACTGATGGGAACAGATTCAGAGACCCACAGTCAAACACTAGGCAAAGCCAGGGGAACCTCCACAGTGGCAGGAAGGAAAGGATGGTAAGACCCAAGGTTTGAGGACACCATAAGAACATGGCCTACAGAATCAACTAAGCAGGGCTCATAGGAGCTCACAGAGACTGAAGCAACAAACACAGACCTGTATGGGTAAGAATTAGGTCCTCTGAATATATCCTACGGTTGTGTAGCTTGATGTTCTTGTGTAACTCCCAACAGTGAGGGGTAATCTCAACTCTTTTACCTGTGCTTGTGACTCTTTTCCTCCTACTAGTTTGTTTCATCCAGCCTCAATATGAGGGCTTGTGCCTAGTCTTGTGCCCGGTTAAGCCATGGGTAGATATCCCTGGGAGGCCTGCTCTTTTTTTGGTGGGAGGGGGAGGTAGTTGGGGGAATAGAGGAGCAGATCTGTAGGAGAGGAAGGGGGAGGGATGGGGAAAGGTGAAGGGAGGGAAACTGCAGTTAAGATATAATGTATGAGAGAATAATTAAAATAAAAAGAAAAACTGAATTGGAACATCTCCTGAATAGAGTGATTTAGAATCATCCAAACTCAGAAATGGGGCTATTCAAACTGGTAAAGGAGTTTCTGGATAAAGTTCAGTGTCAAAGAAGAGCAGAATCTTTAATCTCTTCTTGAAAAATTATCAGACACTATCGGATATTTTGGAGTTGTCACAACATATATTTAAAGGCAGAATAGCCAAAATCCTCCTAGGTAACCAATCATGAAGGTCTAGGTTCACATGTTGACTGCAAATAAAGGTTTTGAACAGATGAGAAGGGTCTATTTACTGTCGATGGATAAAGCTAAGACTCCTAGCTGCTAAAGTAGAGCTTTTTTGGAATAAAATCCATTTGAAATGAAGAAACTCTTCTAATGATTATGTAAATCATGCCACAAGAGCTCAGGGATTTGGAACAATGAGGGCAACTACTGAGTAGCTGTTAATCCTTACTGTGCTATGGGATCCACTGAATGGCAAAACTATAACAACAAAATTAACAAGAAAAGAGACATGACTAGAAATTTCTTTCCTTTCTCCCTCTGATTTGTGAAAGAGGGTTAATTCTCTTGTATTTACAGAACAAGCTGATTTCCTGGAATTTCCAGTGGGCTTGTGTAAAAGACATCTTTTAGAGATTTTCTACTTAAATGAATATTATAAGACTAAAGTAAACAATTAAAAATAAAAATGTGACACTGTGTCTGATGCACAAAGGTTATGTTTGGAATTAAATGAAGCATTTCTAGAATCTCTAAGTATGAAGATCTTCAAACTAGTGAGCAGGAGTTGTAAATGTAGACCAGTGGTAGAACACTTGCCTTGCCCACAGTATTCAATACCAACATTATTGAAAAGCAAGCATGACTTGGAATTAAAATATCCTGCACCCATTTCTACTTCTAAATAATCCATAATTTTGTTTGGTTCTAGCTGATGAGGTGAACTAACTCACTTCCGTTTCAAAACTACCTGACCTGAAAGTGAAATCCCAGCAACTGATGGGAACCACACTCAAGTGTATTACCTGGTGCATTATTTGAAACAATTAAAGTTAGTTAGAATTACTTACACCTCACGATCACCTTCAATAGCATAGCGTAAAGCAGTCCATCCAAACAAATCTTTCAAATTCATGTCCACACCTTGTTGAAGAAGAAGGTTGACCATAACTGGTGAATCACATCTTACAGCATACATGAGAGAATTTCTAAAACAAATACAAATTGTTACAAACTTTAATATAATCATTTAAATGATTATTAGATATGCTTTACCAAATAGCTTGCCCAACTCTATAGAGTTATTAATAGCATAAGTATTTTGGATGATCCGGTAGTCCACACTGCAAGTTTTCTTCAGCGCTAAAAAGACAACACTAGTAGACTTCTTCCCCACTAATCTACTACCTGGAAGAGTCCTAACTTAATATCCTATGGTGGACAACTATGTTACTAAGGAAACATTATCTGATGCACATTAAGATTTAGGAGTTATCTATTTTTTCCATGGCTTAAAAAAAAATCTTGTAACTTATACTCATGTCGAATAAGTAAAATTATTTGTGTGATTAATATATTAGTAACAATATAAAATGATATTGATTATAGTTACAGTACTTTCAGTTAATGGTGCTGATTACCACATGATGGGATTCCTCAGTGTGTGTTAATATTTTTTTCAGACAGGGACTCAAGATGTATGTTTTATTATGTAGATCAGGCTGACCTCAAACTCATAGATATACCTGCCACTGTCTCCTGATTGCTAGCCAGCTCTCATGTGAATAATCTTACAACCACGTTTCAAGTGTATTATTACATTTTTAATATATTAGAGATGTATTTTCCCTGGTTTAGCCACACAGCTCTGGAAAGCAATGCTAGTCAAGACCTAAGGGGATCTTGCTATAGTTCAGTCTGGAAGCAGATAATATTATCCATGTAGTACTAGTTTGGGATGTAAAGGATTCAAGAGTTAGGGGATTATGCGGATTTACACCAGGGTTTCAGGACTAAAAATAAACCCATAAGACCAGGCAGTGAGCAGCAAGCTGAAATCTCTTGCACAGGGCTTAGTAGAGTTGTGTGTTGAGCTGCAAACGGGACTTCAGGGTGCTGGAGATGTTAGATACACAGGAAAGCTGGGGAGTTTTCCCACATTCTCCCAGTGATGGAGAATCATACTGAATCATGGTGTCCCTGCCAAGACAGACAATAGGTTCTGAGATCATGAGTCAAAATGAGTCTTCCCTCCATTAATTTGCCTCTGTTATATATTATGTCATGCCTGTATGATAAGTAACTAATACACAAAGTTTTTTTTAATTTTATATTCAATATAAACTTTTCTAAAGAAAAGTATATAAAAACAAAATTAATACATTTTAGCTAATAAAAAATCATATGTATAATATCAGGATAAAAATTAAATTGTCAATATTAATAAGAGGGTATAAACTTTATTACATATCACTCAGTTTGGATTATTAAAATTCTAAGCTGATAGCTGGGCATGGTGGCACATGCCTATAATTCCAGCACTTGGGATGCAGAGGCAGGTAGATTGCCAGCCCGGTCTACAAAGTGAGTCCAGGACTGCCAAGGCTATACAGAAAAACCCTGTCTCAAGAAACCAAAAAAAGGAAAAAAGAAAAACGAATTCTAAACTTGGCATGGTGGCACATATCTTTAATAACAGCCTTCAGAAGGCAAAGGCATGCAGATCTTTGGGTTCAAGTCCACCTTGATCTACAGAGCAAGTTCTAGGATAGCCAGAGCTACAAAGAGGAACCATGTCTCAAAAATAAAAAAAAAATTAAAAAGAAGGAGGATGGGGAGGAGAAGAAAAGAAAATCTACCTAACAAAAAATATATGTCTGGTTTCAGTATATCCCTGTATGTTAATTGTATTGTTCTATTAATGTATTTTTAGGGCATGGCTGTCTCCATTTTAGGATAACACTGAAAGGTTTTTTGTAAGTCAAATGATTCTACCTTCTCTGAGAGTCAACTGCATGTATACTTGCTTCCATCTTTACTAAAAATTGTGCCATCTTCAGTCTGTTTTCCCTGAGAGCAAGCAATAATGGTGTGAGGTTATCCTGTAAAATAACAAAATAAACAGATTTTGCAAAGACTCAAAGGCATAAATATATGAAACAAACACAGAGCCTGAAGAAGTGGGCTAGAGATAAAGACAGTGCATTAAAAGCCACCCTTTCCTTCTCACCCTACTATGCTTTCATGTGTGCAGCACATTCTCTTCAGAGTGTTGCCTTTTGCCTACAGCTGTGACATGAACCCCAGTCCTCCCCAAAGCTCACTTGAAATAGTTTTGCTTTTATGAAACTTTGCTCCCCTTCTTGCATTTGCCTTAGTATTTTGGAGTCATGTGATTTCTCCCATCTAAACTTCAGTGTTCTGAAGGCAGGAGCTGTCTCTTTATCTCAAACGCTCAATCACAAACACAATAGCAAAGGTTCTCATTGCTTTATTGAATTAATAAGCCAAATTTTCATGTCTAGAGCCCCAAAACTATTTCCATCACAGAAGTACCACACTGCAATAAAGGCTTTATCATCAACTGTTTACCTCTCTGGGCCACATCATGAATCTGGGAGAGCAGAGCCTAAAAACGGGCCAGACTAAAGTCTCATGTGATAGCCAACGTTATTCAGAATGTCAGACAATTTATACCTGAGGGTTCTCAAGAGTTATATGAGTAAAGTGTTTAACTGCAAGGACAGGCTACATGGAGCAGAGGCATGTTTTTCCAGAGAGGCACATAAATAACAGCTGAAGTACACTCACCCCTATCTGCTACACCTGGATGAGCACAAGAACACATTCCGAGAAAGAGTGTGTTTTTAAAAAGTGAGGTCACAAGACTCTTGTTTTCTTGGGGTTTCTTACAAGCACTAAAAGTTCTCCTCACATAGACAACAGAAGAAAGAGAGAACAGGGAACAGGACAGGAGCCTACCACAGAGGGCCTCTGAAAGGCTCTACCCTGCAGGGTATCAAAGCAGATGCTGAGACCAAACTTTGGGCAGAGCACAGGGAATCTTATGAAAGAAGGGGGAGAAAGAAAGACCTGGAGGGGATAGGAGCTCCACAAGGAGAACAACAGAACCAAAAAATCTGGGCCCAGTGGTCTTTTCTGAGACTAATACTCCAGCCAAGGACCATTGATGGAGATAATCTAGAACCCCTGCTCAGATGTAGCCCATGACAGTTCAGTGTCCAAGTGGGTTCCATAGTAATGGGGACAGGGACTGTCTCTGACATGAACTGATTGGCCTGCTCTTTGATCACCTTCCCCTGACGGGGGAGCAGCCTTACCAGGCCACAGAGGAATGGCTACAATGCAGCCAGTCCTGATGAGACCTGATAAGCTTGGGTCAGATGGAAGGGGAGGAGGACCTCCCCTATCAGTGGACTTGGAGGGAGGCATGGGAGGAGACGAAAGAGGGAAGGTGGGATTAGGAGGGGGCTACAGCCGGGATAAAATATGAATAACTGTAATTGATACAAAAACTAAAAATTAAATTAAAAAAAAAGAAAAAGAAAAAAACCAAAGAGCTAGAGGCAACTGGGTAAAGTTGGGAGCAAGAGAGGTGGTCCTTCCCAGGCAAGAGAGAGCACACCAACTGATTGCACAACCAGTGCAAATGGTTACCCCTGAAAACATACATACACATACGTACACGCAACCTTATATGGACTCAACAGGTTATATACACGAATGTATATGTGTATATACATTTATATATGTAATAACAATTTTAAAAAAGGCCATGAATTTGAAGGAGAGCAGGGGGAGGGCATGGGAGGATTTGGAGGGAAGAAAGGGAAAGAAAAAAGGAAAAAAGGAAGAAAGGGAAAGAGAAAAGAAAAGTATAGCAACCCTTCTAGAATCTATCTTTACTCTCTGTCTTCTTCACAACCTTGTCAAAAATAAAAATTTCAAATCTTATTATTTTGATTACCCCTTCTCTCAGTAATTCTGACTTGATTTGAAAGCTCTTCTTGGACCTCCTTACTTCCCTTTAATTGACTCTAAATACCCACAGAGCAATCCCTGGATGTGCATGCTGGTCCAGGTCATCCAGGATCCCGTCCAGCACACTGCTTGGACTCAATAATATCCTCCTGTGAGTGAGTGCAGATGCCAGCCTCCCTTCTAGGGGCCAGCACCTGACTACCCACTGGAGAAGATGCAGTTCCGCCCTCAAACTTCACCCTGTTCATATCAGTTAGATGGGGTTGACACACATATCCCTGAGTCTTCTGTAATAACACCTTTATGTTTATTTTTTAAATATAATCAAAAGGCTAGATTTTGGGAACATATTGCTAGAGTCTTGATGCTGCCCAGGCTACAATATTTTCCAGCAGCTCTCCACTTTTTCCGAGCCTCTTACTAAGCCACTCTCTGTGAGTCCCTAGTTCAGAGACTTGCTGGTGTCACAATCTCTCACCTAAGAAGTGAGTACATATCAAAGGGGATATTGGTGGCCACAGTCACTTTTCCCCACCTCTTCTCTGTCTCCTGCCTCCTGCCTTGTAATCAGAGAACCTGATGTAGGCTTGCACTGTGAAAACTCTCTAATCCTAAAGGAAAAAATAATAGGAGGAGACTCTTTCTGTTTTTCAATGGTGTTACTAACTCTATAAACTCATTACTCCACAGTCATCTGCCCCAGTGTCCCTCTTGAGTACCCTGAAACTCTCAGTCACCATATCTCTCCATAAAAAATAAGACATCAATTGTTTCTCTAAGTCCTGCCCCTTGGCTTATTTTTAATTCAGTAACATCCTTTCTCAAAGTAGGCAAAAATTATACCAAACTCAAGAATAGCCTGTCCATACAAACAAACTGGAAAAATTCTAAACAATTAACAAGGGCTTCCTGGCTATTTTCTAATTACATAACTTGCAACTTGGCTTGAATATTTCTAATCAGCTTCTGTTTCCATTAATCTTCTATTAGCACTCCCATGACTAGATAAATTACTGATAGAACTTGTCAATGGCGTCAATATTTCCACTTATTTCAAAGTTGTTTTGAGTTGTAAGATGATAGATATTTGCAAAGCTAATATTGCTTTAGTGTATTGATTTTTAATCTTTACAGAAATGTTTTTAAAGTACTGAACAAAATTCAAACCTTTAACAAACTCAGTGTTTTCTCATACATTTGTCTTGAGTGTAAAGAAGAAAGTTGCACCTTCCATACCACCGATACTTAAATGATTCCCTTCCAATTTTGTCTAAGCATTTCATTCAGAGAGCAAGTGAGCTTCTAAACAGGGGTGATGAGCCCTGCACACATCACAGGTATTTCTTTTATATACATAGGAAATTTTTAAATTTTATTTATTTTTTTTTATTGATTGCAGTTTATTCAGTTTGTATCCCAGCTATAGTCCCCTCTTTTGTGCCCTCCCAAACTTACCCTCTCTCCCTCATCTCTTCCCACGCCCCTCCCCAAGTCCACTGATAGGGGAGGTTCTCCTCCCCCACCATCTGACCCTAGCCTATCAGGTCTCATCAGGACTGTCTACATTGTCTTCCTCTGTGGCCTGGTAAGGCTGCTCCCCCCTCAGGGGGAGGTGATCAAAGAGCCAGCCACTGAGTTCATGTTAAAGACAATCCCTGTTCCCATTATTAGGAAACCCACTTGGAATCTGAGGCACCCATGGGCTTCCTCTGAGCAGGAGTTCTAGGTTATCTCCATCAATGGTCCTTGGCTGGAGTATCAGTCTCAGAAAAGACCCCTGTGCCCAGACTTTTTGGTTCTGTTGCTCTCCTTGTGGAGCTCCTGTCCCCTCCAGGTCTTTCGATCTCCCCCTTCTTTCACACGATTCCCTGCACTCTGCCTAAAGTTTATCTATGAGTCTCTGCTCAAATATACAACAAGAACATTTGCACAAACATGTTCATAGCAGTTTTATTCATAATAACCAGAATCTGGAAACAATCCAGATGTCCCTCAACTGAGGAATGGATACAGAAATTGTGGTACATTTACACAATGGAATAATACTACTCAGAAATTAAAAACAAGGAAATCATGAAATTTATAGGCAAATGATGGGAACTGGAAAAGATTGTCCTGAGTGAGCTATCCCAGAAGCAGAAAGACACACATGGTATGTACTCATTCATAAGTGGCTATTAAACATATAATATAGGATAAGCATACTAAAATCTGTACACCTAAAGAAGTTAAGCAAGGAGGACCCTGGGTAAGATGATCAGTCCTCATTCAGAAAGGCAAATGGGATGGATATTGGAAGAGGGAGAAAGCAGGAAATAGGACAGGAGCCTACTACAGAGGGCCTCTGAAAGACTCTACCCGGCAGGGTATCACCACTGTCTCTAAGCAGAGTGATCCTTACTTTCGTTCTTTCCTCAATGTCTGCTCCGTACTGCAGCAGCGTGGCAGCGGCTGCTGAGTTCCCAGCATAGACGGCATAGTGAAGGGCAGTGTTACCCCCGCTGTCTTTAATGTGCGGGTTAGCATGATGCTCTAGCAGAAAACACACGATTTCCTCTTCCCAGCTTTGGACAGCCTTAAAAGGGGGTAACAAGAAGCACACGGTCAACTCAAAGAATTTATGACACACAGTCATGGGTTTTACCAATTAATCATATTTACATGAGATGAATTCATTTTTAGGTAAATCAAAATCATCTCATTTTTAAAATGATGACTATGATCTACCTTCATCAGGGGTGTGATGTTATGATTGTCACGTACATTAATCTCACAGCCACGCCTCCAGAGATACCTCACCAGTTCTAGATGTCCATAGAAGCAGGCGAAGTGCATGGCATTCCTACAGAGAAATCACAGTGCACTATCTCAATATACACAAGTATTCATGTAACTGAAACTGTGCCTTTTCAACAAATATGTGATGTCCTTCTGAAGAAATGTGTTTTCCTTGTGAAATTTCTTCCAAAACCAAACACACACACACACACACACACACACACACACACACACACACACACCTGCTTTATTTGCACCAAGCCTCATTTAAAATTTCAGGACATAGAACATAGATCCTTTGCCAGAGTGTAATACAAAAGGCTTCTTTCCCAATTTAATATACACCCCTTGTTTCCAAGTCTCCTGAGTCTTTTCTTGTCTGTTTCCATTGACGTGCTGTCTTCTGTACTTGAAGCAAGACAGTTCACTAGGCTCTGCTCACAGCATTCTTCTCCAACACTGAACTCCAAACTTGCCCACATTCCTACCACAAAGCAGGTCTTCTGCCCTATAAACCACATGCTCATGACAGTATTGAGGAAAGAGAGAAGGGACTGGAACCAACAACCAGCCATACTGCACTAAAGACTGACCCCAGAAACTTGCATCTGTTCACAAGACTTCATACCACCCAAACCAGAGCTGCCGTCTGAGGACCAAGTGCGCAAATACATGAGTCTGGGTGTGGGAGTAAGGATTTGTCTTCAAACCCTGTCATATTTTTATCCTAGTTTAGGATCTGTTGCCTACAAGCTATCTCTTACCCTTTCAAGGCTTCAATTCTGCTCCAATAAACTGGAACATTGTGATGCTTCATTTGGAATGTATATATAATAATTAAGAAAGTGTTACTTATAACATGCTAGATATTATATTATTTCAACTTAACATACATGGTGTTTCAGGTAGATAAAACAATACAACTATACCCATTTTGGAGAGGTTTTAAGGATTCTATATTTCAATGAATGTAACATAATTTTCTTAAGTAAGACAGGATCTTCCTTCCAAGCTAGCCATACACTCATGTTCTTCCTGCTAAGATGCTGAAGCTAGAATGCTCTTCTCCTGTTTTAGAACTATGAATGGTAATAATTTTTAGAGTTTTTTTAGTACTTATAACAATGGGTCAGAATACAATCCTACATATAATTCTATATATAATCATATATATATATATAATCCTATATATATATAATCCTATATATATAAAATCATATATAGATACATATACATATATATAATCCTATATATATAAAATCATATATAGATACATATACATATATATATATATGTATATACATATATATATATATATATATATATACAATGGGTATAATTTATTTTAGTCAGTATTGCTACTTTGGTCAAAGAAACATGAAGTTTTCAAGAAGGGATAGATCCTGAAAGATAGTATATACATAGTAGGTATTCTGGTTAAGTCTGGAGACTAAACAGATTGAGAGAATGGGGGACAAGAAATCATGTTTCTATAGAGAAACTATTGTAAAAATAAGACCCCTGTGCAATATTAACCATTAATATTTGCTATCTTTTACTTTCATATTTATGATTAGTGTCTTGGTTTAGATTTCTATTGCTGTGATAAAACACCATGACCAAAGAAAATTGGGGAATAAAGGGCTTAGTTAGCTTGTGTCACTGTTCACCATCAAAGGACAGAACAGAACTCAAACAAGGCAGAACTCTGGAGCTGACACAGAGGACATGAAAGGGTGCTGCTTACTGGTTTGCTTTCTCATGGCTTGCTCAGCCTACTTTCTTTCTTTCCTTTCTTTCTTTCTTTCTTTCTTTCTTTCTTTCTTTCTTTCTTTCTTTCTTTTTTTTTGTCCTTGTGGAGCTTCTGTTCTTTTTTCATTATTATTCTTTTTTTATTAATTACACTTTATTCACTTTGTATCCCCCCATAAGCCCCTCCCGACCCCACCCTCCTTCCTCCTCTCCCCTTCTTTACCCATGCCTCTCCCCAAGTCCACAGATAGGGGAGGTCCTCCTCTCCTTCCTTCTGATTTTAGTCTATCAGATCACGTCAGGAGTGGCTGCAATATCATCTTCTGTGGCCTGGTAAGGCTACTCCCCCCTCAGGGGGAGGTGATCAAAGAGCAGGCCAATCAGATTATGTCAGAGGCAGTTCCTCTTTCCATTACTATGTAACCCACTTGGACACTGAACTGTCAGGTGCTACATCTGTGCAGGGGTTCTAGGTTGTCTCCATGAATAGTCCTCGGTTGGAGTATGAGTCTCTGGGATGTTCCTTGTGTTCAAATTTTCTGGTTCTGTTGCTCTCCTTGTGTAGTTCCCATCCTCTCCAGCTCTTACTATTTCCCACTCTTACATAAGATTCCTTGTACTCTGCCCAACAGTAGGCCATAAATCTCAGTGTCTGCTTTGATAGTCTGCAAGGCAAAGGCTTTCAGAGGCCTTCTGTGGCAGGTTCCTAGGTTGTTTCCTGTTTTCTTCTTCTTCTGATGTACATCCTCTTTGCCTTTCAGGATGGGGATTGAGCGCTTTAGTCAGGGTCCTCTCTCTTGATTAGTTTCTTTAGATGTACAGTTTTTAGGAGGTTTATCCTATGTTATATGTCTATGTGAGTGATTATATACTATGTGTGTCTTTCTGCTTCTGGGACAACTCAGTCAGGATGATCCTTTCTAGGTCCCACAATTTACCTGCAAATTTCATGATTTCCTTATTTTTCATTGCAGAGTAATACTCCATTGTGTAGATGTACCACAATTTCTGCATCCATTCTTCAGTTGAGGGGCATATGGGCTGTTTCCAGCTTCTGGCTATTACAAATAAAGCTGCTACAAGCACGGTTGAGCAAATGTCCTTATTGTGTACTTGAGCCTCTTTTGGATATATGCCTAGGGGTGGTATGGCTGGATCTTGAGGAAGCACTATTCCTAGTTGTCTGAGAAAGTGCCAGATTGATTTCCAGAGTGGTTGGACAAATTTACATTCCCAGCAGCAGTGGAGGAGGGTTCCCCTTTCTCCACAACCTCTCCAGCATGTGTTGTCACTTGAGTTTTTCATCTTGGCTATTCTGATGGCTGTAAGGTGAAATCTCAGGGTCATTTTGGTTTTCATTTCCCTAATGGTTAAGGACATTGAGCATTTCTTTAAGTGTTTCTCTGCCATTCGATATTCCTCTACAGAGAATTCTCTGTTTAGCTCTGTTCCCCATTTTTTAATTGGATTACTTGGTTTGCTGCTTTTCAGCTTCTTTAGTTCTTTGTATATACTCAATATTAGTCCTCTGTCAGATAAAGGGTTGGTGAAGATTCTTTCCCAATCTGTAGGCAGTCGTTTTCTTTTGATGACAGTGTCCTTTGATTTACAGAAGCTTTTCAGTTTCATAAGGTCCCATTTATTGATTGTTGCTCTTAGAGCCTGTGCTGTTGGTGTTCTGTTCAGGAAGTTTTCTCCTGTACCAATGAGTTCTAGGGTATTCCACATTTTTTTTTCTAACCGATTTAATGTGTCTGGTTTTATGTTGAGGTCTTTGATTCACTTGGACTTTAGTTTTGTGCAGGGTGATAAGTATGGATCTATTTGCATTTTTCTACATGTAGACATCCAGTTGGGCCAGCACGATTTGTTGAAGATGCTATCTTTTCTCCATTGTATGGTTTTGGCATCTTTGTCAAAGATCAAGTGTCCATAAGTGTGTGGATTTATTTCTGGGTCCTCTGTTTGGTTCCATTGATCCACCATTCTGTTTCTATGCCAGTACCATGCAGTTTTTATTACTTTTGTTCTATAGTGAAACTTAAGATCAGGGATGGAGATACCTCCAGAAGATCTTTTATTGTAGAGGATTGTTTTAGCGATTCTGGGTTTCTTGTTATTCCATATGAAGTTGAGAATTTTTCTTTCAAGGTCTGTAAAGAATTGTGTTGGTAATTTGATGGGAATTACATTGAATCTGTAGATTGCTTTTGGTAAGATGGCCATTTTTACTATGTTAATCTTGCCAAGCCATGAGCATGGGAGATCTTTCCATCTTCTCATATCTTCTAATTCTTTCTTCAGAGACTTGAAATTTTTTTTATACAAGTCTTTGACTTGCTTGGTTAGTATTACTCCAAGGTACTTTATGTCATTTGTGGCTATTGTGAAGGGTGTTGTTTCCTAATTTCTCTCTCAGCCCTTCTGTCTTTTGTATACAGGAGGGCTGCTGATTTTTTTTGAGTTAATTTTGTATCTGGCCACTTTGCTGAAGGTGTTTATCAGGTGCAGGAGTTCCCTGGTAGAGTTTTTGGGGTGACTCACGTATACTATCATATCATCTGCATATAGTGATAATTTGACTTCTTCCTTTCCAATTTATATCCCCTTGATCTCCTTCAACTGTCATATTGCTCTAGCAAGAACTTCCAGAACTATGTTGAAGAGATATAGAGAGAGTGGGCAGCCTTGTCTTGTCCCTGATTTCAGTGGGATTGCTTTCAGTTTCTCTCCGTTCAGTTTGATGTTGGTTATAGGCGATATAGTATATCGCCTTTACTATGTTTAGATATGTGCCTTGTATTTCTGATCTCTCCAATACTTTAAACATGAATGGATGTTGGATTTTGTCAAATGCTTTTCAGCATCTAGGGAGATTATTATATGGTTTTTTTCTTTCAGTTTGTTAATATGGTGGAACACATTGGTGGATTTCCGTATGTTGAACCACCCCTGCATACCTGGGATGAAGCCTACTTGGTCATAGTGGATGATATCTTTGATGTGTTCTTGTATTCGGTTTGCAAGTATTTTGTTAAGTATTTTTGCATCAATGTTCATAAAGGAGATTGGCCTGAAATTCTCTTTCTTTGTTGGGTCTTTGTGTGGTTTAGGTACCAAGGTGACTATGGCTTCATAGAATGTTCCTTCTGTTTCTATTTTCAGCCTGCTTTCTTATAGAACCCAGAACCACCAGCCCAGGAATGGCAGCACCCATAATGCCCTGGGGCCTCCCACATCAATCCCTAATTAAGGAAATGCCCTACAGGCTTCGATACAGCCCAACCATATGGAGGCATTTTCTTAATTGCAGTTCCCTCATCTCAGATGACTTTAACTTGTGTCAAATTGATGTGAAACTAACCAGCACAATCAGTCTAAAATTGTTTGCATGTATAAGTCTATATAGAATAAAATGATGCTTGGTATATTTATATAATATAAAAATTTATAAACACAGATAAAAAGATCCTCTTCAGAAAAGACTAAGTATAGACAGAAACTATCAATACATATATAAACACAAAATTAAAACAGTGTAAGATTTCCATCTGTGGATGAAAGCAATCTCCTCTTCAAAGGCCTATTTGAAGGAAGAGCAGAAGTGCATGCAGAACCATAACCAACTAACTCTACAGGAGTCGAAGAGCAAGACTTGGTGCCAACCTACTGTGTTAAAGTAGAGCATTCTCTCTACCGCCAAAAAGAAGCGAGAGAGAAATAAAAAGATGACCACAAGCCACCAAGTGTTCAAATTAACATTTAAGTCAGTGGTTCTAACCTGTGGAGGCATCAGTGAGACTTTCACAGGATCGCCTAACACCATCAGAAAACACAGATATTCACATTATGATTCAAAACAGTAGCAAATTACAGTTATGAAGTAGCAACGAAAATACTTTTATGTTCCGCAGAACATGTGGAACTGTTTTAAGGGTCACAGCAATAAGAAGGTTTAGAACCACTGATTTAAGTAATAAAAAAGAGAAAAGTTTACTTGTAATTTAAATACTTGAAAACAATACATTCGTTTTGGCACATGGTTTGCTAATAAAAATCTACAATCAATATTTGTGTAGATGTAATCAGAGTTGTCACTGAGCGTAACAAGCCAATTTTCCTCTATGTCTGTCTATGCCTCCTTCAAACATGAGATATTGTTTCAATGGATGCACTGTAATTTTTTTAATAACTCTGTGTGCTTGTAATGATTTGATATTTTAAGGTAAGCTGGGAAAAAGAAGTGCCTTGGGTTTTCTTCACCCTACTAGGATCAAGAGGTAGAGATGTGTACAACTTTCAATTGTGGCAGGAGGAGCAGATACACTTCCCAGTTCAGTTCCAGACAACACACATCAGTTTAAATGGATGGATAGATAGATAGATAGATAGATAGATAGATAGATAGATAGACAGATGGATACATACATACATACAAACATACATTATATATATCATATAATGGATACCAGATTTTACTTGAAGAATTTTTAGTCTTGAAGGTGTTATGTTTGAAAAATATTCCTTTTGTTTTTCACCTTTTAAAATGTATGTAACATTGTATCCCTAATGTGTACACTAAGATAAAATGATCTACGTTTGTTGCTTAATACTTTTAAATAGTCTGTTGACTTGCTAAAGGACTCCTGGGCGAAGGGAAAGCATCCAGAGTTCTGCCCTTGCGCTGGCTGGGCCAGGGGGTCCCTCCAGGTGTGCGGACCACAGGTGCTGAGAGAGCCGCTGTGGCAAAGCGCAGAGCTGGGTTCTCCCAGCCGGTCCCCGTCTGGGAGCCAGTAGAGGTGTCTCCTCCCACATCCTCCTCAGGTCTGAGGCGTCTCTTACCTGTTCTCCTTGTCTCTGTGGTTGGCTTCGTATTTACCCAGAGTGAAGTACAGCCGCACAAAAGGCAAGTCCCCTGCGCAGGCGGCCATGTGCAGGTCGTTGTCAGGAAAGTAGGCCATGTCTAAGTAAGCAGGGTCCTGGGTCCCGAGGTACAGCTTGCTTCTCGGAGCTTGGCTGTCACAGAAACCCAAGGGCATCTCTTCGTGATTCTTCTTCTGACAGCAACAGAGTGCAGAGAAGCCTGTGGAATCCAAAGCACTCTTCCCTCCCTCTCGGCTGCATTTTCCTCCCATCTCAGCCAAGGATACTGCAAGCCAACCGTTAACCGCCACAGTGTCAATGTTAGTATAATAAGCAGACTCTCCCCATCGCGTATCAAATTATAAGTCCACCCTCCTGTTTTTCATCTCTTGTATATTATGATTAGCCACTGCATCCATATCTAAATATCAATGGTATTATAATAAGCCCACCCCTCCTGATCCAAATATTATCATTTGTTTATAGGCTAGCCAAGTCTCTGCCCAACGTCCCCTCAAGTCTGCTTCCTGGTTAGTGTCTATCGACTGCAGAGACAGTTGGCAGAAACGCTGTTGTCAAGCCACGTTGGGGGACACAAATACGCAAGGGTAAACATGAACACAAGCGTGCCTGACATTTTGAATGGCTGAAGCCAATGAAGACCAATACGCATGTGCGTGATCCAGCCTGTCAACTCTCTGCAGAGCAGGCCCACATTGCTTCGAACGTCAGAGAAAGAGACTGGAGGGATGCCTCAGCGTTTAAGAGCAGGTAGTGCTCTTGCAGAGTACCCAGGTCTGTTTTCAGCGCCCACCACAGGTGCCTCACAACCAAGAGTCCAATGAGTCGGGGCACCTACACTCGCAAGGCCACGCTCCCTCACACACACAGATACATAATTAAAAATTACAAGTCTTTTCAGGCGCCAAAAGTCAGAAGGCTGGATGGCCTTTAGTCATTTGCTGCAGGCTGATTTATAGCCATGAGAAAGCAGTTCTAATGGCTGTTGAAAGTGGAGGGGGACTAAGAATGCCAAAGGCCTGCACTATAGGAAAATATCTCTAAACAGAAAAAGCCTCTTCATTTCTAATATTTATTTTCCACACCCACTAGTGTCCCTGCATCTGTGTGAGAATTCAGCAGTGGAACTAGCAGCAATCCATTTTCATGGTTTCAGAGATATAAGTACAGACTTTGAAGAAAAACTAATACACTCAACAAGAGACAGTATCCAAATTAACAAAATCAGAAGTGAAAAGGAGTCATAACAACCGACACTGAGGAAATGCAAAGAAGCATTAGGTCTTATTTAAAAAAAAAAAACAAAAACCCTGTACTCCACAAAAATTGGAGAAGCTAAGCCAAATGGATGAATTTCTAGATAGATACCACTTACAAATGTCAAACCAAGATCAAGTATGGTCCTGTAACCCCTAAGGAAATAGAAGCAGTCATTGAAAGTCCCCCAATGGAAAAAAAAAAAAGCCCAGAGCCAGATGGTTTTAGTGCAGACTTTCAAAAAAAGCGCTAATATAAAAACAGAAGGAACATTATGAAACTCATTCTATGAGGCCACAGTCTTTATACCTAAGCCACACAAAGACTCAACAAAGAAAGAATATTTCAGAGCAATTTCTTTTATGAACATTGATGCAAAAATACTCAATAAAATACTCACAAGCTGAATTCAAGCACACATCAAAGATATTATCCAACATGATCATGTAGGCTTCATCCCAGGGATGGTTTGATACGTAAAAATCCATAAATGTAATCCACCGTATAAACAAACTGAAAGAAAGGAACATGTCATCATCTCACTTGATGCTGAAAAAGCCTTTGACAAAATCCAACACCCCTTCATGTTAAAATTACTGGAGAGACTGGGAATACAAGGTGCATACCTAAACACAATAAAGGCAATATATAGCAAGCCAACATCATGGAGAGAAACTTAAAGCAATTACACTGTAATCAGGGAGAAGACAAGGATGCCAACTATCTCCATATCTCTTCAATGCAGTACTTAAAGTACTATTTATCTAGCTAGAGCAAAAAGACAACTAAAAGAGATCAAGGGGATACAAATTGGAAAGAAAGAAGTCAAAGTATAGCTATTTGCACACAATATGATAGTTTTATATATTTTTTTATTAATAAATACCCACCTAACAAAAAGCAGTCTACAGACTCAATGCAATTCCCATTAAAGCACCCACACAGTTCTTTAGAGACCTAGAAAGAGCAAGTCTCAACTTCATATGGAAAATAAAATACCCAGAATCGCTAAAACAATCCTGTATGATAAAAGAACTTCTGGAGGTATCTCCATCGCTGGTTTCACGCTCTGCTGTAGAGCAAGAGTAATAAAAACCACACAACAGGTTATGCAATGGAATCAAACTGAAAACCCAGAAACAAACCCACACACTTCAGGACATTTTAGTTTTAACAAAGAAGTTAAAACCCATATAATGGGGAAAAAAGATAACATATTCAAAAAATGGTGTTGGTCTATATGTAGAAAAATGCAAATAGATCCAGATTAATCATCCTGAACAAAACTCAAATACAAGTGGCTCAAAGACCTCAACATAAAACCAAACACACTAAATCTACTAGAAGTGGAGAAGAGCCCTGAACACATTGGCACAGGAGAAAACTTCTTGAACAGAAAACCAACAGCTCAGGCTCTAAGATCAAAACATTAATAAATGGGACCCCTTGAAACTGAAAAACTTCTTAAAGGCAAAAGAGACTGTCAATAGAGTGAAATGGCAGCCTACATATTGGGAAAAGATTGTCACCAATTCTACATCCAACAAAGGACTAATATAGAAAATACATTAAAAAACACAAGAAGTTAAACACCAACAAACCAAATAATCCAGTTTAAAATGTGGTACAGAGAATTCTCAACAGAAGAAATCCCGAATGTCAGAGAAGCACTTAAAGAAATGCACAACTTCCTTAGTCATCAGGGAAATGCAAATCAAATGACTTTAAGATTTCATCTTACACCAGTCAGAACAGAAAAAAACAAAACAAAACAAACAAACAAAAAAAACCCTCAAGTACAGCACATACTAGTGCGGATGTGGAGAAAAGGGAACATTCTTCCAAGACCGGTAGAAGTGAAAACATGTACAACCCACTTTGGAAATCAATCTGGTGCTTTCTCAGAAAATTTGGAATAGTTCTACCTCAAGACCCAGCTATACCACTCCTGGGCATATATCCAAAAGATGCTCCACCATACCACAAGAACATTTGCTCAACCATGTTCATAGCAGCTTTATTTGTAATCGTCAGAATCTGGAAACAACCTAGATGTCCCTCACCTGAAGAATGGATACAGAAATTGTGGTACATTTTCCCCCTGGAATACTACTCAGCTATTAAAAACAAGGAAATTTGCAGGCAAATGGATGGAACTAGAAAAGATCATCCTGAGTGAGGTAACCCAAACCCAGAAAAACACACTGTATATACTCACTTATGAGTGGATATTAGCCATATAATACAGGCCCAAAGAAGTAACATGGAGAACTCAAGGGAAGATGTTTAAATCTAACTTAGGAGAGGAAATAGAGAGTGGTAGTGGTGAAATAGAGGAAACGAGGTAGGAAAAGTGTTGGTACAATATTCTTGTGGAATATATACAATTTACCCGTGTTCATTCAAATGCTGATTTCTCTACCCCACTATCTGGTTTCAATTCAGACATTGCATAAGCATCACCTGTCTCAAGTTTGCATAAACATGCCACCATTTGTTCTCTGTGTTGTCAATAAAACAACCAGCCAGTGCTGTGCAATGGGGAGAATAGGGTAGGACATACTCTTCTGGAGGGGAGGAGGTCAGCAGAAGAGAACTTGGAACCATGAGGAGGGATGAACCGGACCAAAGATGTGACTAAAAGCAAGTAGAATGTGGGAAATCTGAATGGGAGGAAACTACGCTGGCTTGGAGGTTTAGGATGGAGTAACTATTGCCCAGCATTGTGCTCTAGGTTAATTAAATAAATCCTAGTCTCTGTGGGGTGACTTGGGTACACAGCTAGTTTAGGAATAACCACAGCTTAACTAAAAGATAAATCAATAATAAATATTAATCTCCTACAAAAGAGAAGGGAGCACAGAGAGAAATGAGTGTAGAGATCAGACTTGGAGAGAGCAGGGAAGGGAGGACAGAGGGCCTGCAGAGAGAAGAGAAACCATGGGCAGAAGCATATCTGTAACAATCTTGAGACTTAAGACAAGGTAGGCTTCTGGGAAGATGGGAGGGTGAGTATAGCTGAAAATACCAGTAGCCGGGGTCATGGACACTGAAGAGATTGAAGAGGACACTAACTAGAAAAGACTCCTAGTGGAGGGGGGGACACCAACCCACTCACAAAAAATTAAGACCCAAAATTTACCCTGCCAACAAGATGTGCAGGGATAAAGATAAAGCAGAGATTGAGGGATGACCTCAATCTTGAGCATGACCCAACAATCCTGGTAACCAGGCAGCCAACCGCCTACATGCAGCCAAGCAGGCTCACTAGGCTGAAACCCTAGAGAGAGCAGGATGTTCTGCTGTTTTAAGATTGCTAGAGGAACAGGCGTCAAGAAGGACAAGAGTGGAGCTCATGGTGGTCCCTGGAGACACAGGATTCACTCCTGCCTCCAACGCCTCTGGCCATTTTCCCGGAAGGAAGCAGACTTGATCCAGGGCAGCCAGAGCCAAGGCCACACTGACAAGGTAACCTCTGAAACCTCAGAGTTTCCCCTACTTTTGCTCTGTCTGTTTGGCAGTGTAATGATTCAGGGAAACTTGCAATGATAACAACCAATGAGAATGTTGCAGACCTGTGCCTGTTTGAACCATCGACCTTGATTTCTCCTCAGGCTAAGGAGGATTCTGCCCCAAAGGACCAGAAGGAGCCCTGTGGAGAGTCCCGCATCAGTGCAGATGTGGTAGAAAAGCTAGTGAACCACCTGGTGCCTTCCCTGCAGGCTGGGGACACCTTCTTTGTCCCTGCCTTCCTGTGTACATACCGAAGGTTTGCCACCACCCAGCAGGTGCTGGACCTGCTGTTCAAGCGGTGAGTGCCCACCTCCAAGCCCAGAGGGCTCAGATCCTCTTCTTGGTTCTGGGAAGCACTGTCTGCTGATAAAGTCTAGAGTACTGTCAGGACGCTGCAGCATGAAGTCAGAAAATGCTTCTCCCAGGGTTGGCCCAAGGTCCCAGAGCCGAGACCTGAATGAATGAGGCTGTCCCCTGCACC